ATTTTATTGAATTGATTGAAGTCTGATCAGCTTTTCTTGATTTCTGCTGCAACCTGAGATAGATAGAATTTGATTAGGTTGTTAGAGCCTCATCATTCGGTAGTAGGAGATTGGCTATACGAGAGTTAGCCAGTTTACTGCTTTGTACTCGAATCCAATTCCAATAGTGGAGTTCTGTGCTTATTGCTTCAGCTTTCTATCCCGGTGAAGACTAGTCGTCTGCCGGGTAGTTAGACTGAGAGGGCTTGGTCAGCTTAAGAGATTCCAAGCTACTGTCGGATCTTCTGCAGTCTAATCAACAGTAAATCAACCCAGGGTAATTACAATTGAGACCTAACTAAGGAGCTAGGGGGACTCATTCCCGAGTGACTCTTCTTTGCTTGAGAAAACCGAACCAATTCTTGCTTTCTTACTGCTTTTGCTTAAAACATCAATCACTTGACACACCAAAACACAACACCAAAAGCAGTAAGAAATCAGGAATTGGTTCGGTTTGCTCAAGCAAAGAAGAGTCACTCGGGAATGAGTCCCCCTAGCTCCTTAGTTAGGTCTCAATTGTAATTACCCTGGGTTGATTTACTATTGATTAGACTGCAGAAGATCCGACAGTAGCTTGGAATCACTTAAGCTGACCAAGCCCTCTCAGTCTAACTACCCGGCAGACGACTAGTCTTCACCGGGATAGAAAGCTGAAGCAATAAGCACATAACTCCACTACTGGAATTGGATTCTAGTACAAAGCAGTAAACTGGCTAACTCTCGTATAACCAATCCACTACTACCGAATGATGAGGCTCTAACAACCTAATCAAATTCTATCTATCTCAGGTTGCAGCAGAAATCAAGAAAAGCTGATCAGACTTCAATCAATTCAATAAAACATGCATCATTTGATTAAAACCAAATAGTATAATCATCCCAAGTCATTACAATCAAATCCCTAACACATGGAACTAGGGTTCTTCATACCCAAGTGAGAGAAGGGTTCTACTCCATAGAGAGAGAGAGAGAGGAAAACAGAATACAAAGCAGTCATACTCATAACAATGGGAAGAATCTGCTCTGGGATGATGATTTCCACTCCTATGACGATCTCCAAGCTCGATTTGATGAAACTTAGCTCCAAGATTGCTTCTAGGATGTGTTCTTCGCACTTTCTCTCTCTACGGCTCTGTTTTTGCTCTCAAAACTCGATTCCCTCACTTGTGGCCCGAAATTGGGTAAAAACCAGAAAATCCCAATCACACGGGCAGGCCACACGACCGTGTGGCATACCCAGATGCCCGTGTGAGATACAAAACGCCGCGTTTCCAATAATTGCACTTCAGGCTACCTACCCGGCCAGGGACACACGGCCGTGTTTCTAACCCAGTCTGCCCTTGTGAAGCCTCGCAATATCCCACACGGCGACATTGCTCCTTCACACGGCCGTGTGGTTTTTATTTGTGCCCGTGTGAAGGCTCGCACAATCCCACACGGCCACATTGGTTACTTGCACGGCCGTGTGGGTTTTGTGTGTGCCCGTGTGGCTTCCTCAGCGACTCACCTCACGCCCGATCTTCATCCAATCGACCCCAAACTCGCTCCCAAACCTTCATTCACGTACTAGGACCTGAAATATCACATACAAGCACAACCTAGCCTGAAATCGGCCTAAAACATGAGAATCAACATCTCAAACGATTCAAGAATAGGGGCAAAAACATGTGCAATTAACGGTTTGTCGGTAGAATTTACCTAATCTAAGTTATAAGTATTAGGATATGCCTATGGGACTTACAAGTCACCATGACTTGGAGAAAATGGTCCACCTCTTCTACAAAGCGGTCGACCACTTTTCAAGAAAATGTTATATATTTACCACAATGCGGTACACCATTTTCCACCAAGTTGACACCGCTTCATCCAGGCAAGCGACCTGATAACACACTTACTTTCAACTTACACACGCTTGTTGGAAAAGGTAGACCGCTTCCGCCAAAGGTAGACTGCTTCCGCCAAAGGAAAACCGCTTCCGCCAACGGTGAATGCTCAATGAAACAATTAACTTCTACTTATGTTAGAAAAATAATGGACAATAGAAGGTGTCGCAACCGCACCTCGAAATCAGGATCGCTCGCGAATTTGCTCGGAGTCGCCATCGACCTTAAAAGTAGTGGGCCGAACACTAATTGGATCGGTCTCGACCATAGGGACAAAACCAGGATTTGGTCTGCGGAATTTTAGAAATTCGGATTCGGGAGTACGGTTACGTGTGGGGAAGTGTATTCACACCCCACAACACCCTAAATCGGTACTACCTAAATTGATAAGTTTCCAAGGGTTGGGTGTTTTAATTCTATATGATTTAACTTAAAGTCCTATTGGACTAGTTAAGATAACTTGAATTTCGTATACTATTGGTACACGATGAGATTTTACGTCTATTGACATATGTCTAGAAAAATGAGAAGTTATGGTTAGTTGGAATCAATTGATTAATGATTATGAAAAGATTCCACCATAAAAAATTATTACAACTATTAACCCTGATTTCATTTTATTGGATCTTTAGGGGAAAAAACATATATACAAATTCGTAATGACGTAGTGAAAAAGATATTTAGAAGAATTTGATGTATGAAAATAATGACGATCTAACTAGATCAAAATTTCTAATACGTTTAATTGATTATGTATTAAGCATGATAAGGAATAAAATTAGACGAGGGGCCTAAAAGGTTCAAGGATTGTGATGTAGCTCAGTGGTTCGTTGTGTTGAGTAGTGGTGAGGTTTGAGGTAAAGGTCGCTAGTTCAATTCTCAAGAGCGCTTTTTTTTTTTTTTTGCTAATTTAAAGAGGGGAGGGGCAGATCAGTCATTTAGATAGCGGCCAGTCATTTAGATAGCGGCCAGAGGTATATAAGGGACTTAACCTAGGAAACCCTAGGCGCCGCTCAAATCTTCCTCCCTCTCGTCTCTTCACTATGTGACACGAACAAGGAAGGAAAAACCCCAAAAAAATCATCTCTCCCTTTTTCATTTTGCCTTCTGAAAATCGAAACCCTCCCCTTTGATTAACTTTATTCTTCCTCCAAAGAGACAAAAGGAGTAAATCCCACCCATATCTCATGTTCCACAGCAAAATCGGACGGGATCGCAACCTAAAATACGCCATTGGAGCGCCAGTCAGCCTCCAAATCGACGGTAAGTTGCGGATTATGTTTGCAAGTTTGATTTTCTGGGTTTTTTTAGGAGTTTAGGGGTGTTGACTTTCCTTCTCTTGATTTTCTGTTTCTATTTGCGGGTAAGGGGGGTAGAACTAAAGTTATTGGCGGTCATGGGTCTCGCCGTCGGCGAAGGAAGATCGACTGCCAGACGCGATGAAAGGGGATCTGGGTAAGCTTACATTTGATATTTGAATTTAATTTAAAGAGGAGAGGGGCAGATCAGTCATTTAGATAGCGGCCAGAGGTATATAAGGGACTTAACCTAGGAAACCCTAGGCGCCACTCAAATCTTCCTCCCTCTCGTCTCTTCAGTATGTGACACGAACCAAGAAGGAAAAACCCCAAAAAAAATCATCTCTCCCTTTTTCATTTTGCCTTCTGAAAATCGAAACTCTCTCCTTTGATTAACTTTATTCTTCCTCCCAAGAGACAAAAGGAGTAAATCCCACCCATATCTCACGTTCCACAGCAAAATCGGACGGGATCACAACCTAAAATACGCCATTGGAGCGCCAGTCAGCCTCCAAATCGACGGTAAGTTGCGGATTATGTTTGCATGTTTGATTTTCTGGGTTTTTTTTTTTGGAGTTTATGGGTGTTGACTTTCCTTCTCTTGATTTTCTGTTCCTATTTGCGGGTAAGGGGAGGAAGAACGAAAGTTATCGGCGGTCGTGGGTCTCGCCGTCGGCGAAGGAAGATCGACTGCCAGACGCGACGAAAAGGGATCTGGGTAAGTTTACTTTTGATATTTGAATTTAATTTATAGAGGGGAGGGGCAGATCAGTCATTTAGATAGCGGCCAGAGGTATATAAGGGACTTAACCTAGGAAACCCTAGGCGCCGCTCAAATCTTCCTCCCTCTCGTCTCTTCAGTATGTGACACGAACCAAGAAGGAAAAACCCCAAAAAAAATCATCTCTCCCTTTTTCATTTTGCCTTCTGAAAATCGAAACCCTCTCCTTTGATTAACTTTATTCTTCCTCCCAAGAGACAAAAGGAGTAAATCCCACCCATATCTCACGTTCCACAGCAAAATCGGATGGGATCACAACCTAAAATACGCCATTGGAGCGCTAGTCAGCCTCCAAATCGACGGTAAGTTGCGGATTATGTTTGCATGTTTGATTTTCTTGATTTTTTTTTTGGAGTTTATGGGTGTTGACTTTCCTTCTCTTGATTTTCTGTTTCTATTTGCGGGTAAGGGGAGGAAGAACGAAAGTTATCGGCGGTCGTGGGTCTCGCCGTCGGCGAAGTAAGATCGATTTCCAGACGCGACGAAAGGGGATATGGGTAAGTTTACTTTTGATATTTGAATTTAATTTATAGAGGGGAGGGGCAGATCAGTCATTTAGATAGCGGCCAGAGGTATATAAGGGACTTAACCTAGGAAACCCTAGGCGCCGCTCAAATCTTCCTCCCTCTCGTCTCTTCAGTATGTGACACGAACCAAGAAGGAAAAACCCCAAAAAAAATCATCTCTCCCTTTTTCATTTTGCCTTCTGAAAATTGAAACCCTCTCCTTTGATTAACTTTATTCTTCCTCCCAAGAGACAAAAGGAGAAAATCCCACCCATATCTCACATTCCACAGCAAAATCGGACGGGATCACAACCTAAAATACGCCATTGGAGCGCCAGTCAGCCTCCAAATCGACGGTAAGTTGCGGATTATGTTTGCAAGTTTGATTTTCTTGGTTTTTTTTTTTGGAGTTTATGGGTGTTGACTTTCCTTCTCTTGATTTTCTGTTTCTATTTGCGGGTAAGGGGAGGAAGAACGAAAGTTATCGGCGGTCATGGGTCTCGCCGTCGGCGAAGGAAGATCGACTGCCAGACGCGACGAAAGGGGATCTGGGTAAGTTTACTTTTGATATTTGAATTTAATTTAAAGAGGGGAGGGGCAGATCAGTCATTTAGATAGCGGCCAGAGGTATATAAGGGACTTAACCTAGGAAACCCTAGGCACCGCTCAAATCTTCCTCCCTCTCGTCTCTTCACTATGTGACACGAACCAAGAAGGAAAAACCCTTAAAAAAATTATCTCTCCCTTTTTCATTTTGCCTTCTGAAAATCGAAACCCTCTCCTTTGATTAACTTTATTCTTCCTCCAAAGAGACAAAAGGAGTAAATCCCACCCATATCTCACGTTCCATAGCAAAATCGGACGGGATCACAACCTAAAATACGCCATTGGAGCGCCAGTCAGCCTCCAAATCGACGGTAAGTTGCGGATTATGTTTGCATGTTTGATTTTCTGGCTTTTTTTTTTTTTGGAGTTTAGGGGTGCTGACTTTCCTTCTCTTGATTTTCTGTTTCTATTTGCGGGTAAGGGGAGGAAGAACGAAAGTTATCGGCGGTCGTGGGTCTCGCCGTCGGCGAAGGAAGATCGACTGCCAGACGCGATGAAAGGGGATCTTGGTAAGTTTACTTTTGATATTTGAATTTGATTTTGGGTTTCTTTGTTATTTTTATTATGATTTTTGGGATTTGGCTTTCTGTTGGGAGGAGACGGAGAGTCAACAGCAACGAGGGAGGATTGATTTCATCGGCGATGACAAAATCGAAGGATAACAAAAGGTAGGCTTTGCGGATTTTTTTTACTTTGATGCTAATCTCTTCGATTGTGCAAGTACTGACTCTTCTTTCCTTATTTTTGAAGGTTTTGGAAACGGGTAGAGAGCTAGGTGAGGTTTTCCTAAACTCTACTTGAAGCGGTTTGGGAGAAACACTAAAAAAGTGGATTATGATGTAGGTTTGAAAACGATTTACAGATCTGAGTTTTAGGAATGGATGTGTGTTTGTCGTAATCTGGATTTTTGAGGTTTACTTGGTGGGTTCTAATAAAAATCGATGGTTTTGAAACTCATAATCAATTCTATATTTGGCCTTTCGGTTAACATACTAGTGTCTTTTGGTTAATATGGTTTTGTTGAGATGGATGTGCTTTTTGGGTATTTAGGAAAAATGACAAATCTGTTTTTGCCTTTTTGGTGATCTCATCTATATTCTAGTTCTATAAAATTAAGGGATCGAAATATGGCATAAATAAAGGAATTGAAAATTGACGAAAAGTAAATAGCCCAATTGGTAGCAACAATACTACGTAATAAGAAGTCTAATTGAAGAAAGATAAAAAAAGAGATGCTGATAATGGCAATAGTAGAATGATATTGGCAAAAATAAGGTAGTAGAGAAGAGATTAAATCAATAGTATATTATTATAACTGGAATATAAACCACCTTGTTGGCTCAGTACAAACCTTGTTAGGCTTTTGTTTGCCTTGAGGTTTTCTACTTTCTATTTGACAGAATGAAGAAGGAAAAAAAAAGTACTTGCGTTTCTCTTTGTATTTTCCCAGCACTTCCCCTCTCTCTAAAGTGACTAAGAAGAAGAACAAAATCTTTGAAATGACTGAAAGAAAGAATTGACAGTGTTTCCCCAAGTGCTTTTTCCCCTCCGATAAGTCGTCCCCCTCCTCTAGAAAATTGAGCCTCCTTTTATAGGAAAAAGAGGCGGTGGTTTCTGAGTTCGGCCGGACCAGTTCTGGTTCGACCGGTCCGTTTGTTGGTTGGCGTCATTTTGCTGGTTCGGATGGCTGGCCCATTTTGCCTGATCTGGTCCAAAGTGGTTTTAGTGCTTGGGCTTGAAATGTGGGTTGTGATCTTCTGGACTTGTCTTGGATCTGGGCCTGAATAGACTGTCTCCTTCTCGCAGGATTATGGCGGATGAGGTAAGATTGCCCTTCAAATATCAAGTTTTAATTTGTAACACTACTTTTATAATGATGTTGTATAAGTGCAATTTTATGCAGTAATTCATATTTGTAATTTGTTATCCCGATTGTAATTGTAATTTAGTAATAATTTTAATAAAAAGTTTTTCTTTATTATTATTATTATATTTGCATTGTGCCAAAAGCCGAGATTGGAAGCCAATCGATCCTATTAGATCTACTGGAACCGAATTTGAATAAATTGTAGAATCGTTGGTATTTTAGACTTGCAATGGTCAATCTAATTATCTTACGAAATTTATGATTTAAGTTGGAATTTTTAGTTGGATAATTTACCCGGACAAAATGAGTTGTCTGCAGTTGCCACCCTTGTATATCTCTTTATATAAAGAGTTATACAAAGTTCCCGTATAAACACCACATTTTCTCAGTTCAGTGGGGGATTATATTTTGTTGTTGATGTATTTTTTTGGCATTCGTCAACGCCAATTGTTACATTTTTCTCGATGACAACGTAAATGAAGAGTACGTCAACGCTAATTATTTTTTCTGATGATGACATAAACGAAGCGCACGTGAGCGCTAATTGTTGATGATGACGTAAATGGGCACGTCAGCGCTAATTGTTGGATTTTTCTAATGATGACGTAAACGAGGCGCACGTCAACGCCAATTGCAGGGTTTTCTAGCACTTGTGTATTTTTCAAACGCTCACCAGCGTTAGTGTCGTATTTTTCAGGCTCTCGCCAGAAACAGTGTACTTTTCGAACGCTCACCAGCGTCGTTGTCATATTTTTCAAGCGCTCGCCAGCACCAGTGTACTTTTCGAACGCTCACCAGCATCAATGTCGTATTTTTCAGGCGCTCGCCACACCAGTTGAATGTTTCGATAGTTTTGTTGAGGGCATGTCTAAAGTGAAATTAAGACAAGTTCTAATTGTAAGTGAAAAGATAATGTCTGACTTGTATGAAGTCGGAAACATAATTGTTGTACTTGAAATCTTGATGAATATCAAAATGCATTTCTCAATGAATGTTAATGAGTATGATTGTTGATATGATGATGTTGTCTAATGGGTATCAAAATGATTTTGAAAATGATTGTGTGATGAGTCATGTTAATGAATGATAAAGCCGTGAATGTTGTATGGAAAAAGAAAAAAAAATGATATGATGCATCATCAATTGGTTTGAGAAAATGTTTTTTTTTTCCTTGGGTTCCTTAAAATTGAGCCCCCACAAGAACTTGTGTCATTGTCTTTTGTAACCTTGATCCCCAATTGCGCTCAATAGTGCGAGCTCTTATTAGACCACCTTCGGGCTTCTCATTGTCCAAAGCAGGGTTCTTAATTTTGTGTTGGTGTAGTGTAGCATGCTCCTTTTGTCATGGGGAGGTAATTGGTTGGTTTGAACGCAGTCAAAGGTACTCTCAAGATCTTTGAGATTTCTAAACTGTTGAGTTAAACGGTTGTGTACTTTGTCTTGCGAACTTTTCATAATGCTTCTCCTTAGAGGTTACACCATTCTCGCCTCCAAAAGATCTGTCGTTAACTTTCTATTCTAGGAACAAAGAGTGACTTTATCAATCTTAACTTAAGATGAGTGCAAAAATGTATGACAAATGTGGATGGAAAAGTATCATGGGAACATGATGTTGAAATTTTCGATCGAGACAAGCGTGTAAGAATTTCATACAACTTTGTGTGGTTATTTCATGTTGCTAAAGCTCATTTTTTCATTTTTCAATGAGAAGGGAGCAAGTCAAGCCATGAGAAAATCAATAAGCACTCACTCTACTCTCTCTTTCGATATCGTGCTCGAATTCAGTCTCACTTATTCCTAAGGGTGCTTTGAGCATACGACATTTCAGCTACCATTAAGGTTCGGGTCACTATGAGAGGCCTTCTTTTATGTTGATGGTCAAATATGTTCGGGGTAATGGTTTTTTCAAATGAGGAGATTCTTACGAAGTCTAATTTTGGTCCTGGGAAGTTTCTTGTAAGGGATGTTGCTTGCCCACGAGGTATTAGGTTAAATGATGGCTTAGAGTGATTCTAATGGCAATTATCATGGTTTTCCTCAAGCCTTGCTTTCTCAAAAATAGTGGTGGCTTTTGGACATCTTGGGGAATGCGTCTTACGTTGCCCCCTTGTCTTGAGATTTTAGGAGGTGGGGTCAGGTGGTGAATAAATGAGGTCTTTGTGAATGTGAACTTGGTTATGGGAAGTCTCATCACATAGGTTCTTTGCTTAAGGTTTTCTGTAGGTATTAGCCGGCAAATATTTTGATTTGCCGTGAATGGTTGACTTCAAATGCTAATGAAGGGGCCTTTAACATGTAAGTCCACAACAATTTTCTTTTTCTTTGCTTTTTTTTATTTGCTTTGCTTTTTTTATTTGTCGTGGGACTTAATTAACATGGTTGTGGCACAAAATATGCTTCCCTTATTCTCCCCTCTGACATTTGTATAACTAGACAGAAGTATCAAAAGGTTAGTACTTCACAATGTAAGTGTATTTTCTCGTTGGATTGGCTGGTTGGTTACTCCTCTCTCGAAGAAGCAAAACTTCTAATGCCATTCGGCTTATTTGAATTTTTTCCTGGTTAGATTCATATGTATTTGGATCCCAATTCGCTAGCAAAAGTTGGCAATGATGGTGACGAGATTCTACAAGTAGCCTGATGTCATGCGCTCGTTACACCTTTTGACTACTCACTCACACAATTCGTGTACCCCCAATGGGGTGTTTACACTCTCAGTTCTGGCGCAGTGTGCACATTCTCAACACAATGGGGTGCTTATAATCGCTCAACACCAGTGGGGTGCTCAAATTTGATGGCAATCTCATGGCTTAACTTGGATATAAAACTAGGTTTGGATGGTTTCCATCAAATTTAAAGAAATTGGGAATAACATTCGTCATTTGGGCAATGAAAAACCATTGATGCAAACTTCTATATTAAGATTGATAATAGTTACAAAACATTCCAAAGAAGTCTAAAGGTGGAAATCTTATTATTTATAATGATGAAAGCAAAGGTGATACATCTGTTGTTAAGGAAATTAGCTCGATACGTTTATTTACGTAATAGGATCGACATCATCCTTGAATCGGGCATTGCTTGTGGTACGCCTACTACTTGCCATGAGCCCAGTGGATTATTGTTAATGTTTGGACTCTTAGACTCCTCTTCAAATTTCAACCAACCAGCATTGATCATCTGTTGCACCTTTAACTTGAATGATCTGCAATTTTCAGTTGAGTGTCCTGCGACTCCTGAGTGGTAAGCATAATGTTGATCTGACTTGTACCAGTTTGGGAAGGGAGGTTGCATAGGCTCATATGGAATTAGGGAAATTAGATGACTTTGTAGTAGTTGCGGGAAAAGTTCAGTGTATGTAAAAGGAATAGGGTCAATTTGGATGTGTTTTTAGTATCTCCCAGAATAATTTTGGTCTTGGTTATTTGGTGGTGGTGCCACTGGTGATTGAGTAGGAAAATTCGGACGTTGAGTAATCAATGCGGTATTTGAAACATAGGTATTAGCTTGATTGTCTTGAGGTTGGTGATTCCACCTTCCTCTTCTTGATGAGTCTTCTTGAGCATAATGAATCTCTCCATCTCCCCTTCGAGTTTGGTATGGTTTCTTTGAGGCTTCCAGACTTTCCATCCGACCTTGCTTCAATCCCTTTTAAATTCGCTCTCCAATTGCTAGCAAGTCCGCAAAGTTGGTTGTGGTAATTCCCACCATGTTGTTGTAATACGGAACCCTCAATGTTCCGAAGAAGATTGCCACCATTTCCTTTTCTGACAGCGGGGGTTGAACATCTGCCGCCTTCTCTCTCCACCTATGAGCATACTCTCTGAAAGATTCCTTCTCAATCTTTTCCATATTTCGTAAGTCCTCCCGATCTGGGGCCAAATCCTGGTTATGCTTATAATGTCTCATGAATGCATCAGCTAGGTCTTGCCACCTTTTCACTTTCGTTTTCTCTAATCGCATATACCATCTCAGCGCGGAGCTACTCAGGCTATTTTGGAAGCAATGTATCATCAACCTTTCATTACAAATATAGTTCGCCATTTTATTACAAAACATGACCAAATGACTTCTTGGGCAAGTAGTGCCATTATATCTTTCAAATTCTGGTATTTGAAATTTATGAGGAATTGTGACATCTGGGACTAAACATAGTTGTGATGCATCCATAGGCTCATAGGATTCAAATCCCTCTATGCTTCTTATTCGTTCATTCATGTGCTCTAATTTTTCTTTCAACATAGCATCAACCCCATGTTCCTCATGCTTCTCAGTCTCTTCTGATTTGTCATGCTTTGGTTGTTCCATGCCATCTTTTTCACCTTTGTTCTTCGAAGGTATGAGAATAAATTTACTACTCGAGGCATCTACTTTAGGTTTTTCATGGTGATCTTCTTCGTCGAATATGGCTTCTTCTTCGTTGGTCGCAACCCCCTTTCCTTTTCCTGACAGTATGCTCAAAATTGTGCTGAGTTGACATTTCATCTCATCAAAACCCGCCAGTTTTCATCAAATCCCGTCAGTTTCTCATCAAACCATGTTAGCTTCCCATTGATGTCGTTTATCTCTTTCTGAAATGCCTCCATGAAGACCTTGAGTTTTGATCTAGTGAAGTGCTTAGAAGGCTGACTTTTTCCTCGTAGGCGAGCAATTTTAAGGAACCCTGACAAATTTATTGTTTGTTAAACGATTTTGTATATATGATGCTTATGATGCTAAATTATGTGAATGTGTAAATGCAAAGATGACTTTAATGGATGCATGTGCTTTATCTTTTTTGATTTTGAATAGGATGAATGCTAATGTCATGAATTTCGAAAAGCTTTTATGTGCATAATAAAATCACATTATTTATGAGTAATCAATGATGCACAAATTATCACATCAAAAGCAAACATATATCTAAATTAAAAAAAATTCTCTAATTAAATAAACATAAAAAGTTATGGAAGATTTGACGACAAGGTTTATACGTGATGGTGTTGGGCGGCTGCTAAGCTTACTAAATGGTTGGTAAAGGTATCTAGGAAAATACCCAAGATGTATCCTACTATTGCTCTTTCAAGATTAGCCGGATACCTCAAATCAACCTCGGATTTGAGTTCAACTTGGTTAGTAAGTTTCACGATATTCCCCTACTATTGTAGGAGTCACGTTACACCTTGCAATTTCTAAAGGAGAGCTCGGGTATAGAGCTTTTTATGTATGAAATGAAATTAACTATAAAGTAAATAAAAATTTCAAACAATATAGTAAAACACATAACACCCAAAAAGAAAGTAAGAAAAGCTTATCGATTTAGTTATGTAGCTCGATTCTCAAAAAGTCCCCAGCAGAGTCGCCACTGTCGCAACCGCACCTCGAAATCGGGATCGCTCGCGAATTTTCTCGGAGTCGCCATCGACCTTAAAAGTAGTGGGCCCAACACTAATTGGATCGGTCTCGACCATAGAGTCAAAACCGAGATTTGGTCTGCGAAATTTTAGAAATTCGGATTCGGGAGTACGGTTACGTGTGGGGAAGTGTATTCACACCCCACAACACACTAAATCGGTACTACCTAAATCGATAAGTTTCCAAGGGTTGGGTGTTTTAATTCTGTATGATTTAACTTAAAGTCCTATTAGACTAGTTAAGATAATTTGAATTTCGTATACTATTGGTAGACGATGAGATTTTACGTCTATTGACATATGTCTCGAAAAATGAGAAGTTATGGTTAGTTGGAATCAATTGATTAATGATTATGAAAAGATTCCACCATAAAAAATTATTACAACTATTAACCCTGATTTCATTTTATTGGACCTTTAGGGAAAAAAACATATATACAAATGCGTAATGACGTAGTGAAAAAGATATTTAGAAGATTTTGATGTATGAAAATAATGACGATCTAACTAGATCAAAATTTCTAATACGTTTAATTGATTACGTATTAAGCATGATAAGGAATAAAATTAGACGAGGGGCCTAAAAGGTTCAAGGATTGTGATGTAGCTCAGTGGTTCGTCGTGTTGAGTAGTGGCGAGGTTTGAGGTAATGGTCGCTAGTTCAATTCGCAAGAGCGCCTTTTTTTTTTTTTGCTAATTTAAAGAGGGGAGGAGCAGATCAGTCATTTAGATAGCGGCCAGAGGTATATAAGGGACTTAACCTAGGAAACCCTAGGCGTCGCTCAAATCTTCCTCCCTCTCGTCTCTTCACTCTGTGACACGAACCAAGAAGGAAAAACCCCCAAAAAAAAAAAACCATCTCTCCCTTTATCATTTTGCCTTCTGAAAACCGAAACCCTCTCCTTTGATTAACTTTATTCTTCCTACCAAGAGACAAAAGGAGTAAATCCCTCCCATATCTCACGTCCACAGCAAAATCGGACGGGATCGCAACCTAAAATACGCCATTGGAGCGTCGGTCAGCCTCCAAATGACGGTAAGTTGCGGATTATGTTTGCATGTTTGATTTTCTGTGTTTTTTTTTAGTTTAGGGGTGCTGACTTTCCTTCTCTTGATTTTTTGTTTCTGTTTGCGTTTAATGGGAGGAAGAACGAAAGTTATCGGCGGTCGTGGGTCTAGCCGTCGGCGAAGGAAGATCGACTTCCAGACGCGACGAAAGGGGATCTGGGTAAGTTTACTTTTGATATTTGAATTTGATTTCGGGTTTCTTTGTTATTTTTATTTTGATTTTTGGGATTTGGCTTTCTGTTGGGAGGAGACGGAGAGTCAACAGCGACGAGGGAGGATTGATTTCGTCGGCGATGACAAAATCGAAGGATAACAAAAGGTAGGCTTTGCGTATTTTTTTTTACTTTGATGCTACTCTTTTGGATTGTGCAAGTACTGACTCTTCTTTCCATATTTTTGCAGGTTTTGGAAACGTGCAGAGAGCTAGGTGAGGTTTTCCTAAACTCTACTCGAAGTAGTTTGGGAGAAACACTAAAAAGTGGATTATTATGTAGGTTTGAAAACGATTTACAGATCTGAGTTTTAGGAATGAATGTGTGTTTGTCGTAATCTGGATTTTTGAGGTTTACTTGGTGGGTTCTAATAAAAATCGATGGTTTTGAAACTCATAATCAATTCTAAATTTGGCCTTTCGGTTAACAGACTAGTGTCTTTTGGTTAATATGGCTTTGTTGAAATGGATGTGCTTTTTGGGTATTTAGGAAAAACGACAAATATGTTTTTGGTGATCTCATATATATTCTAGTTCTAGAAAATAAAGGGATCGAAATATGACATAAATAAAGGAATAGAAAAATGACAAAAAGTAAATAGCACAATTGGTAGCAACAATACTACGTAATAAGAAGTCTAATTGAAGAAAGATAAAGAAAGAGATGCTGATAATGGCAATAGTAGAATGATATTGACGAAAAAAAAGGTAGTAGACAAGAGATTAAATCAATAGTATATTATTATAACTGGAATATAAACCATCTTGTTGGCTCAATACAAATCTTGTTGGGCTTTTGTTTGCCTTGAGATTTTCTACTTTCTATTTGACAGAATGAAGAAGGAAAAAAAAAGTGTTTGTGTTTCTCTTTTTATTTTCCCAGCACTTCCCCTCTCTCTAAACTGACTAAGAAGAAGAACAAAATCTCTGAAATGACTGAAAAAAAGAATTGACAGTGTTTCCCCAAGTGCTTTTTCCCCTCTAAAAAGTCGTATCCCTTCTCTTGAAAATTGAGCCTCCTTTTATAGGAAAAAGGAGGTGGTGGTTTCTAGTTTCGGTCAGACCAATTCTGGTTCGATCAGTCCGTCTGTTGGTTGGGGTCGTTCTGCTGATTCGGATGGCTGGCCCGTTTTGTCTGATCTGGTCCAAAGTGATTTTAATGCTTGGGCTTGAAATGTGGGCTGTGATCTTCTGGACTTGTCTTGGATCTGGACCTAAATAGACTGTCTCCTTCTTGCAGAATTATGGCGGATGTAGTAAGAGTGCCCTTCAAATATCAAGTTTTAATTTGTAACACTACTTTTATAATGATGTTGTATAAGTGCAATTTATGCAGTAATTCATATTTGTAATTTGTTATCCTGATTGTAATTGTAATTTTAATTTAGTAATAATTTTAATAAAAAGTTCTTCTTTATTATTATTATTATTATTATTATATTTGCGTTGTGCCAAAAGCCGAGATTGGAAGCCAATCGATCCTATTAGATCTACTGGAACCGAATTCGAATAAATTGTACAATCTTTGATATTTTAGACTTGCAATGGTCAATCTAATTATCTTACGATATTTTACGATTTAAGTTGGAATTTTTAGTTGGATAATTTACCCGGACAAAATGAGGTGTCTACAGGAGGTCTACAATATTAAATTATTTTGTAGTAATGCAACATCCTATCACCCGCGAGAAACCAAATCTCTGTGCAGATTATAGGTATATATAAAAAGAAATAACAGTATCTTGCAACACTACTGAAATAAAATTATAAAACCATATAAAATCAAGAGGATATGAGATTTATGGGCGTTGAAGATGACGCAATAGTATAACAATTATACTATACTTTTTAGGTATCTTCATAACAACAATAGCAACAAAGTTGATCTATCACAAGACAACTATAAGATAAAAACAAGCAAATTTAGAATTTGAAGAAAATTTTCGATCTTTTATTTCTCCATTTTATGAAGTATTCTCTTTCTTCCTCATCCTTGAATCATCCATCTTCCAAATTACCTTCCGGATATGGAATACACCATGAGACAAGTACGAAAAAACCCATCTTCTACTTCATCGATGAAAAACTCATCATTGAACATGATCATAATTCCATAGACCTGAACCGGTTTCTTGTAAAGAGCAGTTCGAGCCATAATACTGGATAATACTCTTTTCGATTGTTGGGACTTTATGGGACGAGGGTACACGTACGATAGCCCAAGACTGGGTGGCTAGGATTATGATAGAGTCCTGAAATATGTTCACTTTCCGAAAAGAATATTTCCACCCTTCATAGAAGCATTGGGTTATAGGAAATTTCTCCCGAGGATAAAACTATTACCAAGAACACCAAAGCATACTTAGAAACTTTTGGAAGAAAGAAGAAGTATATGTTTATGTGCATCATCCACCTCACACACATATTTATAGGGGCTGAATCCATGCATTGTTTCATGAAAGGTTGCATTTATCCATACGAAAAATTGTTCTTATTCATATGGAAGGTTGCCTTTATCCACAAGTTTCATCCTTGTCCATAAAAAATGCAACCGCCACTAAGCCAAAGGGATGCGTCCCTTCATTGAATTAGAATGTTGGTTCAGTCATCTAATCCCAAATTAGTTGGTCGGTCCAACCCAAAAACCAATTTAACTTGGTTAGTCCGGTTCAACCAAATGTCCAACAAAATTCTCCCCACATAACTGGATTGCATCTTCTATAAATTCAGACCAACCCCTCTGTGTTTTTCTAACTCGAGATTTAGAGATACCAAACTCTGCCAAACTTTTGGAAGAAAATCGAGACAATGTGGTTCTCACCAATTCACTACGTTCGTTGTTTTTAGAGTTTGTGGTACCGCTGCATTAAAAATGTAAGTACACTTTTGCATCTTCTACGAAAACTAGCAATCCATTAGACAACCACTACCACTTTGAAAAACATCAATACCATTGCAGAAGTAAATCTATACCATTACACGAAAACTAACAATATAAATCTATACTATTTTACAGAAAAGCAATACCAGATTTAATCAATACCAGTACATGCAAATTACTATCATTACATGATAATCAATACCAATGCAACAAAAATAGTACCAATGCAACAAAATCAATACCAATTCAACAAAAACAATACCATTGAGGCGTGAGGGTCGGAGATAAAAGGATGGCCAACGTCGTCGATTGCTTTGATGACCTCCGTGGTCCAGATCGCTTGTCCATCGGCTCCTCCCTGTTGCCGAGAGAGAGAGAGAGAGAAAGAGAGAGAGAGAGAGAGAGAGAGAGAGAGAGAGAGAGAGAGAGACGGTGGGGGAGGGGGTGGGGTGGTTAGGGGAGATAGGGAGGGAAGGGGTGCGGTGGGGACGGCGGGGGTGGGTTGGGGAGGGGAGAGAGGGAGGGAGAGGCGGTCGGCGAGCGTGGGTGGGAGAGGTGGCTGACGACCGTGAGTTTGGCTGGAAGAAGGAGAGGGTAGAATTAGCCAATTAGGGTTTGTGTATATATAGAATAATTCATTGTGGTTTCTTTTTTGTTTCCAAAATTATCCTCAAACAATTATAATCGTGAGATTAAAAAATAGGAAAAGGAAAAAATGGATGGTGGATATTAATGTAGCTAAGGTGGCTACTAAAATTTTAGTAACTATCCTAACGCGTTCCGGCAGGCATGGCATCAATTTAGCATGCTACTGCGATTGGTTACTAACTCGTGTATATGGAAATACACATGGGAATTTGGGTTCAAAGGGGTTGGGAAGAACCCATTTGGCGACACTACATTGCATACTTTCAGCCATGACGTGAGCAAAGCTGAAACACTGGGTTTCTTTTTTATTTTTTTGGTTTCGTCGAGACGTGATGGCTAGTGGCTGGCTACTACGTACCCTTATGGCTTATGGCATTAACCGTTCAATTGGATGTTGATCGTCGCAACAAGTTGGCCAATATTCTTCTATACTAGTGCCCAATTCCTCGTATAATAATAATAATAATAATAATAATAATAATAATAATAATAATAATAATAATAATAAATCAGCGACCGGACTGCCGATGAGTAAGTCAGTCCAAACACAACCCCGCTCTGCCGGAGCCACTAACCAGCCGTCCGTCGCATTAAACTAATAATAATTATTATTATTAAGAAGCATCTACCACCACTAATATAGAAACTCCAACTACATACATTACAGAAACGAGACCAATGATTATATAAAAGTATGAAAGGAACAATACAAAACCAAGTCAAAGAAAAGAAAAGAAAAGAAACCTAGTGGGAGGACAACTGGGGGGAAAAGCTTGATGTTACATTTTAGCCACTATATTATGTCACTTCAACAAATACATTGCGAAATTACAAACTTTAACAAATACATCGATGTACCGTATTTCTTAAGTATTGTGTTAAGTATACGTTAGAAATCTTATCCTACTCAATGTTACTCTTGAATCTCCGATCTCAGTTTTCCAATCCAATGCTCACATACTCAAATTATTAAACATCACAGGAGGCGTGATATACAATTTAATAAATATATATGCATCATTAACAAACCAACTCATAAGATATAGATCGATTTTCTCATAAGTCGTAATCAAGTTGGCTCGCTAGTTACAATGTTGAGACATCTCATGAGCTCAAAATGAGATAGTTTCATGAGTCGAACTCAACAAGTCACCTAATCGAGCTAGTTCACGAGTCTCACAAGCCGAACAAATTAAGCTCGAGCTCGGCTCGTTAATAAATGAATCGAGCTTTTATCGAATTGAACTGGTTTTTATCGAGTTCGAAACCGTATTGTTCGCGAATAGGTTGGTTCATTTACAGCTGATTTTTTGTTTTGTTTAAAATTATCATGCAGTAGCGTATTTGTTGAAATGGCATATTGCAGGCACTAAAAATATAATTAGCTGACAAGGTAATCTGCTGTACTAGTACTATTATTATCTAAAGAAACCCTAGAAAAAGATTAGTTATTTTATCGGCGTTCGGTTCGGCAAGACGGCAACCGGTGCTGCCTCCGAGTCACAGCCGACTCTTCACTCGCTCACATCCCGTGACGACAACACGCGCCCCCGTCTCCCTGATCCCAACCAACAGAATAAACAAGAAGCCGTCCCGTCCCCCAGCAAACCCCAGACTCCTCAACCCCCGATTGTTTTCACTTCGTCGGAAATTCCAAATCCCCAAACCCTAAGCAAAGGTCAAAAGGTCACCAAGTCAGCCCCCAAAAGCTGCAATTCCGATTTCCCGGCGTCGGAATTTCAATTTTTCACTTTCGGGCAAGGAAAAAAAGCCGCGAGAGTTTGGGGGAAACTCACTGTCCAAGAAATTTTCCGGAGACTTTATCGGAAGGAGAGAGAAGGTCGGCGGAAATGGCGTCGTCGAAGGTGATGGCGTCGTCGAAGCCGAAGAATTCGGATCTGGCTTCAACGTCGTCGTCCTCTTCAGCTTCACGATCCCGTCGCTTTTCCTCTTCTTCTTCCTCTGCTACTAAACACCGCTCTTCCGATCACTCAACGACAATCCGGCCGCTCAACCTCGACAACTCCTCTTCCTCCAACATGACCGTCGACGGAATGCTGCGCAACGTCTACTCCGCTCCCTCGTCGGACTCCACGCTCCTCGACACTCAGATAACCCTAATGGATGCCGCGACTCCTCCTCTCCCTCCTCCTTCTCTCGCCGCGGCAATCGATTCCAGCCACCACGCCAACGGCAGTAACGATCAGGAAATGGCAATTGCTGTTGCCCCTACGCCGCGGGGGAGCAATAAGACAGTCGACGACATGTGGAGGGAGATTGTGTCCGGGAGGAAGGAATTGAAGGAGGAACCCGACGAGATGATGACTCTAGAGGATTTCCTCGCCAAGGCCGGTGCGGTGGAGGTAGGCGACGATGACGATGAGGTGAAGATGCCGCAGCTAGCTTCGGAGAGGCTGAGTGGGGGAGTGTTTGCGTTTGATTCGGTGCCAGTGCCGCCGAATGCTATCCATATGCTGGATAAGGTTGAAGGGTCGATCGTCGGGTTCGGGAATGGAGTGGAGGTGGCTACCTCTGGCGGGGGATTAGGTGCGGGGAGAGGGAAGAGAGGTAGAGCGCCCGTTTTGGAGCAATTGGATAAGGCTGCGCAGCAGAGGCAGAGGAGGATGATCAAGAATCGGGAGTCAGCTGCCAGGTCCAGGGAGAGGAAACAGGTAGACTGAAGTTTAACATTATCTGTTTTAGTCTTGATTGGTAGTCTTTTTGATTCTGTGCTGTGTACTAATTCAATTTGGGGATTTCGTTTATGCACTTTTCGGTGGTTTCAGGCTTATCAAGTCGAATTGGAGTCTTTGGCAGTGAAGCTAGAAGAGGAAAATGAGCAGCTGCTGAGGGAGAAGGTACTCGTACTCGATGTCTAATCGACTTTTCTTGATTTTGAATCTGATATTCTGGGCACTGGGGACTGTTTTTGTGTTCACTCCCATACTGTGCTTTTAATAAAAGATTTGGAACACGTCTATGAATTGAGCTTCGTCAACCAAAATAGTTCTGGTTTTTTATAGAGCAACATTCACTTAAGTGTGAATCTGCTCTTATCCATAGGAAGTAATCAAGCTTGAGTCGGGTCAAATTCTGACTTGCACCATCCTGGCTTCAACAAAGAATTGTTCGCCTTAATAGTGACATGTCGTCAATTATCGTTTTGGTTTCTCTCGTGCTGTGGAATTTCTTTGTTTGGAGACATCTGGCGAATGGTAATACAATTTTATCTTATGATTTTGTGTGTGTGTGTGTGTGTGTTTGGATGGATGATTGCCTCTGTAGTCTGTACAAATCCTGTAACTTGGAGCCTTTGGGCATCATTAGTGCTATGTCTTGAATTTGAAATCCGAAGATACCTCTTTTTGAACTTGTTTTGAATGGAAAGCCATCTGATGTTTCACCCAATTGTGGATGCTTCTCTCATGTCTGATAACTGGATTTTGTGGTGCAGGAAGAGCTTACAAAGGAAAGGTTAAAGCAGGTATGTAAGCTTTCTTTGATTACTCATCTTTCATCAATATCAAGATTGCCTTAATTTGAATTGGTGGAGTACTTGGCACTGCTAGTTCAGTACAGACATAGAAAAAGAAGAATCAGCTTTTCGATAATGCCTTAGAGATGGGGTTTTTAGTTATGATGATCTTGGTATCATCTACTTGTATTTTGTGGTTAGGCATTACGAGTGCCTCTTCTAGTAGCTTCTTAGTATAAATAGATATGCTTAGTAATCAACAGTGCATAGCAGTTTGAATTTTCCTTCTTAAGTTCTCAATTTGTGATGCTGCATCATTCATTCATTCTGCAGCTTGCAGCAGTTGCCAGTATAGTGCTCACCTACCCTCCCCCTTTCGTGGTATCAATTGGGTAGTTGGATGTACTGTTGCATGATTCGATTAATTTTATATAGAGGGAAATGCAAGGAGTTCCAAATGTCGTGCCATATCACATATGATTTCACAAAAGCATAGACCTGTCAGCATCAGTTGGCCTTTGCAATATATCCCAAAGATATGGCCAATGCAATAGAATGGACTAGAACTTGAATTGTAGACTTACCCTCATAATATGGTTAAAAATGAAGTTGAAATAAGACATTTCAATGCAACACTCTGTAGTTCACTGCAGGTCTCTTTTCTTTTAACTAATTGAATTCAATATGTTCTTTACTCTTTTAGCAATTACCGGGCAGTGGTCTTTTCCACTTTGCTTACTAGTGAATTAGGAATGCCTGTACCTTGAATTTCTCTGGCTTAATTTGACTTCCTTGTGGAAGAGATGCAATATTGTCCTGTTCTTTACAAGCATCTAGTTTGAAGTGGGTTGAATTGATTGGCATGTCTTGTTGTTTTGTACGGCGAGTGTTTGACTATTGCTGGAAATTCCTTGTACTGTACTAAACTGCACTAAGTCCAGAACCAACTAAACCTCCCCATGGGGATTAGGAATTTGAAGATGATTTTAGTGGTTGTTGGCAACCCAAAGTGTCTTCTTTTGCTCTCATTGTGACCAATGCTAAAATTATGGACCTTTCTGTGGATCTCGTCTTCTCGGTATACTTATCTTGAACTTGAAAAGTGCTTTCATGCATACATGATACAGGGCTACAGTTTTAGTAACTAGTCAGCTACTTCTTCGTTTTCCTATGGCGCATAAAAAGTGGAATCATATTCCATGTACCCGTGTGGAAGTGCCCTATAGTTTTAATTGAGCTAGCAGCATTTCACCAGTTTTCATGGTGATTTTGATTGATCAAGAGCCCATACAAATACGCTATGCAAATTGTATCCTTGTTGATTACATTGTTTTTCTTGATGAATCCTGCAGCTTATGGAGAAAGTGGTTCCGGTGGTGGAGAGGCGAAAACCACCACGCACGCTGCGCAGAGTTCGGTCCTGGGTGTGGTAGGTACCAATGTAGTTAGCATTGTAAGGTCTCTGAACTTGGGAGAAACACCCTCCTTTGACTACTGAGGTACAGTAAAAACTAAAAATAGAGCCGCAACACTTTAGGATCGACTCGATTCTATATTACATATAAATTTGAATGTGATGGGGATCTGACATTACTCAAGCTTTTGGAGTATATATATAAAGTAGTAATATAGAGAGAGAGGTTGTGAGGTAGATAAGATAGTGAAGGGGGGTTTTTGACCCAAACCAGCAAAGGGGAAATTCAAACACCCGTAGAGTTGCAGCAGGAGCAGGGTTGAAGACATGGATGATGAACAACATCATGAGGCAACAATGCAAACTGCAGGTCATCACTTGTTTTTGTGTAGCAAACTAGGCTGGAGAAGAAGGAAGCATTAGTATTTTGATATAGCCTCTTAGTTATATTGCTCTCCTACTTTACTTTACTGCACTGGTTGTGAGGAAGTAGGGAAAGAGGAGAATGGGGGCAGAGCTTTAGATGGGTTTTGAACTGTAATTTTATTTATTTCTTTCTATACTGGCGAGTTTGTGAAGAAGCCCTTACATGGCCATGGCTGATCGATCAATCGATTCGCTTTGTTTCTCTTTCAATTGCTTTCTATTCACGTCATTGCAGTTTCCTTTGTAATTGAAGCTCAAATCCTTTTAGGGGTAGTTTGAATGAGGGTTTTAATGTGAGACATTTTTGTCACAAGCAAAATAATACATTTGATAAGTCCTCTATTCTTGTAGAATTTTGAAAAACTATTTTGAAATCATACACGGTTCGTCCTTTTATTCTAAAAGTGACTTTAACACAATTGCATATCTTTTGGCAATCGAAATGAGAAAGTTTGTTTATTTTTCATTTTTTTTTTCTATTCGTTTCTAATTATGAAGACAGAAAGTGACAACTTCCTGTTGTTTTCGGAAACGAAAAAATGTTGTTTTCACTTATTTTCAACATCTGTTTTCTAAAAAACAAAAATGAAAGTAAACAGGCAATAATATTCAAGGCTAGTGATATTATCTATAGGCCAAGGGCTTATTTAATACACCTTTTTTTGTTCATCTCTTGTTGTATATCTTTCTTGCTCCAATTTTTTCTTCTCTTGCTCTATATCTTTCTTCCTCCAATTTTTGCTTCCGTTTTCTAGGTTTTGTTCAAATCAGAAAAAATGTGATGCCAATCAATATCTCTATTACTTGCGAGAGCCAACAATCGATTGAAATGAGCACTCACACTCTGCGCGCTCCGGTGCTCCTCTCCTCCTTCCAAACCTCATTGATCTTGTACCGATCTCCTCGGCAATCCTCCAACCATCCCCACGTTGAATTGTCTCACGTTTGCAATCCACCTAACCACCTGCTCTATGTCGTTTTCCCGTACACGTGAGATTAACGTAACATAATAAATGAGAAAGAGATAAAAGAATTGAGAATAGAAATAGGGATTTGAGGTAGAAATAACATAATTGAGAATTAGATTTGAAGAGGAAATTAGAGATCAAAAAGAGGAATGGTCGATGGCCTTAGGGAACGAAGGGACGAAATTGAGAAAAAGAGAGACTAGGGTTTGTGATACTTTTTTAATTAATATTTGCTGTTAATTAACGTAATATCCAAATGACATTTATATAGGCTATAGAGTATAGACCTAAAACCCAATAATAATCTCAAACTATTCGACCCCTTTCTTGGCCACCTAACACTAACACTAGTAATCCTCCAAATAATATATAGAGGTTCCTGTTGAGAACCCATCCAATTGATTTTTTCCTAGCTTCTCCGCATAGGAAGGGAGGATTCATTGGTCATTTGGGCCTATAAGTTAAAACCCTCAACATATTAATTAAAAAATTAGGACCAGGACTCCCACGGAAAGAATTAAAGCTCCCTATTTAATTAATGTGTTATGTTATTTAAAGCTCCTAATTTACTATACTTCAAAGAATTAGTGTTTGTAGATACATTTAATTTATATAATAACTGCCATATTATAGTGTTAAAGATACACGATTTTGTGTTTTCATAAATGAATTTGTATGTAGAGATATAAATACAAATTAAGTTTGTACCATAATATTAAAGGTACAAGTTGAGTTTATACTATAATTTTTTTTTACGAAAATGTATAGACACAAACTGAATATTGTATTTTTTTAAATGGAACAATTGATGGTATGAAATATAGTGAAATTTCTCTATCTATATTTATTAAAATTATAATTAGCAGCTATATTTTATTGTATCCATTTAGATAAAATAGCTTATTGTTACTTTATTAAAAAAAATTAGGTGCATAGTTCAACGTGCATAATCACTCCCTTATCGGTTTCTAATTAATCATATTTCATTTGTTCAACATTTAGTTTATACATTATTCATGTGTATTTTTGTCCATCATGTCACCAGTAATGATTGACATCAGTTTGACATGAATCACCTGCTCACAATGACGATTATGAGGCCAGTGCACCATAGCATGTACCCAAAAAGTGACCGCATTGAAGACAAAATCTTTATTTTTGACATATTTAGGAAGATATGTTAGTCTAGCATCCTATGTAGGGGTGGCTAACGATCCGGTTCGCACCAGAGTAAATCGTACCAAATTGATATTTGGATCAAATCATATCCGATCGAATATATTTTGATTCGATTTTGATCCTATGAATTATTTTAAGTATGAAGAAACATGGACCAAAATTGAATTTGGGATGGACTAAATCGAACAAAATAAACCAAACATGTTTTTGGTCCGGTTCTGGTCCTTATTTTTCCTTTGTTTTTGGTTCAGTTTTGTATCAATTTGAACAAGTTCTGTACCGAATCGACCGATGTCCACCTCTAATCCTATGGCATCGTGTACAGTAGCGTTCATGCACTATCAATTCTTCTATAATGGTACCCTATCTATACGACAATTCCTAATTACATCCCCACCATCAATTTTTGGTTCTCGCCTTGGTGACCGGACTTTGACCAATCTCCCAATCTTCATAAAATTAACTTAGAATGATCATGATACTCCCCACTTAATTTATTATATACAAATTGAGCAATAAAATTTGCATATTTATAAGAAAAAAAAGCAACATATCTATTGGAGAGTACTCAATCTCTAAGTTTATTCATTAATTTTTCAATCTAAAGAGTATCAATATTTGTGTTGGTTGCTGGGTTGTTTATCAGCATGAGAAAGAATAAATATCATAAAATGTTCATGTGACGTAAATTCTACCGTGTGTAATGTTTAGTGTGAAGATAAAGGTTTCGTAAAGAAAAACTCATGCATTGGAATTTGTAGATGTGATGGTGCTTTAGAGGACGCTGCGATCACACGAAATCTTAAATGTCATTTGCAATAATTTGTTAGTTCCAAGAGCAAATAGTGCGGTTTGATTATATTTTTAGGAGTAGATTTTCTTGCATGGTTTTGTTTTTTACTTGCAATGAGGGCTTTAGCAATAAATTGGTTTAGCATGTTAAAATATTATACGAGTATGATATTGTCTCCCGTTACTAAATGATTCAAAAAATTTATGGTATATAATAAAACATTTCTTGCGTCGGATAATTTCTATGGTTATTTATACTATTAACAAAATTCATCCTACCAACGTGCGGGCTTAAATCTAGTACTATTAATCAAAATATTAATGAAATTAGTTTCTAGTAATTCTCTTCTGTTGAAAGCGATCTTGCCCTTAAATTTGCGATCAACTTCAACCGTGCTGACCTTCCCCACTTCTAATGTCGTACCTCGAAGTCATCTTAATGGTTGTTTGTGCTTCCAAAACTTTCAATTGCGTTCGGAACACGAACAACTAGCGTGGCCCCAACCAGTTGGTCGGAGGAAGGTGAGGTATGAAATTTGGTAATATAATGGGGGTGTATAGTTTATTGTTGTATAGTTTTTTTTTTTTTTTTTTGAAACACATGATAAAATAGTGAATTTTAGCAGGAAAGATACATGAGATGCAACGAATCAAAAATCAGTCTTATGAACCAAAGTCAAGTATTTGTTACCTTGTGAAACAACATTGTTTCTAATAATATGATGAGGTGGAGTAAGTTTTATAGAAACCGAATTCCAGAAAAACAATAAAAAATTGCCTATCCCGCCGGTTTTCGGGAAATGAGCATCTCACAATCGTTGCTAGCTTTTACTCGGCCCGTTGGCCGATTAGTTTGCTTTATAAAACTTTCAGCTTGTCGTCATTGTGCTTTCTTGTTTTTTTCAGGCCACGATTAAATCTAAAGAAATCAAGAACGAACAACACAATTTGGGATAGGAACCGTCGTTTCTGTATCTCAAGAACGAACAACATCAATTGTGCAGCATATTGACTCAATTGGCCCGATACATGGTTTGACTGTTAGTCAACACGCCATGTCATTGCCTCGTCAACCTAAAAATCATTAAAAAAATTCAAATTCAAATTATTTTCCTAATTTCTATTATTTATCATTTTCAAATTAACCAAAAAATAAATTTGTAAAAATATAAATAAAATTTATTTTTTATTTTTGGGATATTTGAAAATGATAATTTGTATAAATCAACCAAAAATTATAAAATTAAATTTTTTAAATATAAAAATATATGATATAATGATATTTTTTAATTTTTGGGAAATTTTAAAAATATAAATAATTTTGTAATTTTAGATTAATTTATAATATTTATCATTTTCAAATTACCCAAAAGTTAAAAAATTAAGTTTATTATATGTTTTTTATAATTTATTTTTGGTTAATTTAATAATAAATAATAAAAATTACAAAATTAATTTGAATTTGAACTTTTTTTAATAATTTTTATGCTGACGAGGCAATGACAATGCATGTTGACTAACGGTCAATGGTGTTGGTCATCCAAATTGACGGTCAAACTATGTGTCGGGCCAATTGAGTCTAGATATTACATAGTTGAGGCCAGGATGTTAATTTCTGAAACCACAGTCCAAAGTTGATTATATGGTCATAGTT